GGGGCAACAGCCAGAAAGATAGGGGAGGGGAGGGGGCGAGAAGGAGATGATCCATGCGAGGGACCGCAAGGCGCCGCGGGTAGGAGCGGGCCCATAAGAGCGAGTGAGAGCGCGGGGCTGCACACCCGCGATGCTTATGTGCCGTTATATCCTCGGCTGGCCGCGTCGTTAAGGGGCTTAATTGTCACGCGGGGGATGAGGCCGCGTGGGCGAGGCGAGGCCTCCTCCGCCGAGGCGTTTACATTCGCACTTCTGGGTGCTATCGGCCAGTAGCAGGAGGTTGTGCGCGGGAAACTTTCAAAGCCGTGTCAAAGTAGTTTCAGATTTGAGAGAGTTGGGTATTTGGCGCACAATCGCCCTTCTGACTCCACTAAAAATTTCCGGTACGAGGCCTCAACTCAAATTTATTTGTATAATATGGTTTTATGATCTAGTCTTCGACAAAACATGTTTCTTTTGAAAAACCGTAATATGTAGCGTATCATCATTGGCATCTGGGTATCACTCGTGTATTTTGTTCGTGTTTATTTACTTGACAACTTTGTGAAATAGAGGGTTTAAGTGAAAGAACTGAAAGGAAATAAAAATGACACCACAGCAAAAACAATTGTGATAGTTTATTTACCTTATAATTAAGTCTACTGATAAAAAGTGATCTACCGACTACAGAAATAAAAGTGAATGAAAGAGAAAAGAGAGAATATCATTACTATCACACCGAAAGGCTTTCTTGCTACGTATCAGTTCTAAAAGTACAGCTGCCGGATGTCTCGCACATGTGCACATGGTATAGTGAGAAACAGTGAAAATTAAAAGTAGAACAACCCATTCTCATCACAGTTTGGTTACATGAACGGAAACAATCTATCAGATTTGGTAGCAGCAACAGAAATGAAACGCCACACAGCATTGCGTGCTTACTCGATTTTGTCTAAAACTACTAAATTACAAATTACTCCAAACCACACCCACCCACCAACTGACATTAATCGCATCAACAGTTGCCCCAACATTAGACTCGCCACGTTTGCTTTTGTCTTGCGTCGTACTGCACATTTTCTTTGTATTTCCTCGCGGATGCTCCCAAGCTGTGGCTGTGGCTCCGCTCTCAGTCCCCGCGGTTGTTGATGACCATGGGCAGCTGGCGCACCTGCTCGACGAGCGCGGGCACGAGGGCGGCCGGGCCGGCGGGGCCCGAGGGGCCCGGCGCGCGGTAGCGCAGGCCCTCGCAGGACGCCTCGCTCGAGCGGCACACCTGGCAGCTGCAGCGCTTGGCCTCCAGGTACTCGTAGCGCTCCGTGCCGGGCTCGACGCCCTCCTGGCAGTGGCGCAGCACCACGACGCGCGGCTCGTGCACGTCGTGGATGCACACCGGGTGGTGCGAGCGCTTGTACGGGAAGCGGTAGTCCGAGATCTGCAAAGCGAGGCAGTTTCATTGTTTCAGCAAAGGCGCATTAAAAATTACTCGCCGTTAATGACACCTGGAAAGGAGTTGGTTTGGAAGAAGAAATAATAGATTGCAAGTTTCGGTCCGGGCCGCTGGGGCAACCTCCTGGAGGGTAGACAGTACGGGCCCGCGCCTGCGCAACGGATTGCCTACCCGCCGCTCCGCGGGCGCACTGACCGGGCCCGGGCCCGGCTGCGGCCGCCCGAGAGAGGTGCTGGTCCGCCCGGGGCCCTTATTGGTGCAAGTGGGGTGGGGCAAGCTATTGGTACACTCGTGACCGCCAGAGGGGCGAAGGCGGCGAGGGGAGCGAGCAGAGGCTTGTTGCCGAGGAGGGGCGATCTCTAGGAGTTTGGGACCAACAGGTGTTGTGTTGCCGGGGTCACTTATTTTACCCACTGACAGTGGAATAGAGCAGGACGGCAAGAGTTATAACCATCCCCCCCCCCATTTTATCACGCTCGGGGTTGAAAGAAAAGTAAATTTCGAGTGAATTACCAGAGGCTCGAAGTGTAAACCGGGCCGTGGTGTAAAAAGGGGCCCTGAAGTCGCCCTTTCCCTCCAGTCTGTGTGCGTCGGGTCCGGCCGAGCCGGCCGGGGGAAAGGGGGGAGGGGGAGACGGCAAACATGCGTGTTGCGGGGGAGGGAGGGCGCCGAGGGACTTGGTTTCGTTGGAAAGGCCGGGGAAGGCCGGGAGAAAAGGCCCGGAGAGCGCGAGGTTAAAGTTGAAAAGTCGAAACAGTAACAACAACAACAACAAGATAAAAGTGCGGGTGGATTGCGAAAAACTCAATCATAACCATAAGGATTTCTACAACGAGCAACACAATGCGAAAGGGTCGCTCACCTCGTTGGAGTCGCAGCGGCCCCAGCAGCTGGTCACGCTCACGTGGTCGAAGCACGTCCGGCCGTTGCGGTCCGAGCGCGACACGGTGCTGTTGTAGACGCGCGGGTGGCACTCCAGCGTGGTGCGAACGTCCACCCCGGCGGGAGGGGGGCGCTCCTCGGCCAGCACGACGTCGCAGCGCGCGGCCCGCAGCGCCAGCAGCACCACCACCAGCCAGAGGGGGCTAAAGGACAAAGAAGGTGTGTCACTTTAGAGTAAGAAGTGGAGTAGTCCGTGCAATGGCAGTTAAGTATTTAGTGAAGGATATTGATTGTCAAACCCAACTCCGGTGCAGCTGGATTGTCCGACCTATTTTTCTAAGTGAAGAATATTTTTTTTGTTCACACAACATATACTTATTGTTCAAGCCCTGCCGCCGGCGCTTTTTTTTTGTTGGGTGAGCAAAAGAAGAAGAAATATCCAGCTACTCGAACCCCCATGAGTTGGATGGAAGATTTTTCTGCTGGCAGAATTCGAACACACACAAAATAAATAAATAAAAAAAAATAGTGCCGATGGCAGGGCTTGAACCCATGACCCGAGGGCCCCCGCACCGACACCTGTACGCATTCGGCTGAGAGACCGCACTCGTTGCACACCGACAAGAAGACAGGCTGACGCGGCGTGGGAAAGAAAGAGAGAGAAAGAGAGAGAGAGAGAGAAAAAAAAAGGGTTTCCGGACGGATCCCAGGTGGGACTCGAACCCCAGCGCGGGTTGCCGACTAGTCGAGCTTCTCGTACAGTGCGTAAAAGTTCAAACATTAAAACGAATAAATTGACGGCGCGTCGAGTATTAGAACCCCCGACTCACAGTTCAAACCTAGCAGCGATATCAAAGAGCCACGAGGCCGGTCTCGAAACGCCAGGAGAGAGGGTGTCGTAATGGGACCGGTTCTTCTCCCGCTCAAGCTACTGCGCCGACTCGTGCCTTCAGCCTAGCTCGCCCGGCCTCTCACACTGTGGCGCCGTAGCCGCGCCGGTAGAGAGTCGGCCCCGTGCGCCGCAAGTCAGGGCTTCGAATCTCCCATCCCAGGTACATTTTTCTGAACCGGTCGAACTCTTGGAGATGAACTTAAACCCGCCATTTCAACGGGGCACCTTCGTGGATGAACGAACGGTCTGGTGGTTAACGCTGCCCCACTGGACTGGGGGTGACGATGACTCGGCACTGGGGTCCCATTAGGGGCAAAGGTTCGACCCCCGGCGAAAGCGTGCCGGGTAAGAGCCATCCCAGCCACAGCGGGAGTGGTAACCCGTGTGGAATTGATAAGTCCTTAGAATCTGGCTCCTCGAAGGGATTCCACCACTCGGAAGCTTTCCGCTCGGATCGCATCTGGGTGCAGTACAGGCTAACCACCGTACGCCCGTCTCCTCTCTTTCTAACTCCCTCCGCCCTACCCCCCATTCCCGGTCAAGCGGACTGGTGGGAACCTAGTCGATGGCTGTAAACTCCGGTGTGAGCGAGATAGTCAAGAAACCCGGCCCTCAGCTGGGTGCCTGAAAACACCGGATCCCATTCCGAACTCCGAAGTTAAGCAGGCGGGTCCCCGTGTCAAAGCGGGGTGGGTAGGGCCCCCTTTTTTTCATTTTTGATAATTTAATAGGTAAAGTGAATCCGGCTATAAGAGGTATTCTAACTGCCTAAATACTCCTCATTCCTATGGGCCCCCCTATAGTTACAGTGGCTCGTACCATAGTGCTAGTCCTTCTATATGGTGCTACCGGTGGCGCCCGTGGAGAACGGGGATGGGGGGGGTGGGGAGCTGCACGTGTGTTCCATTTTCGGTGACCTGCGGGCTGCATCAATCATACCCTGCAGGCGCACGCCGCTGCACCCATTGTATCCGGGTGGGGCTTATTTAGCGCGCGGCCAGCAGCACAGGGGTCACTGCTGTCCACCGCGGACCACCCACCGCCACCAACCACCACCCACCCCGGGGCGGCCCCGCGGCGGGCACGAGGAGGAACACGCGGCTCTGCTGCTGCTGCTGTTGCTGGTGATGCTCTGTGAACCCCGCCGTTGTTTACAACGCAGAGCATTCCTCACCCCGACCCGACCAACCATTGGACCACCACGCTCCCAGTCCCCCCCCCCCTCCTCCTCCCTTCTTCCCCCAGAGCCCGGTTGCGTTTCTCTTTAAGGTTGCGCGCGGCGAATACTGAGGGGGAATTCCTCGCCCGCCGCCGCCCTCTCTGCCCCGGGGCCACGGCGGCACGGGGCGAGGGCGCAACGCAATGCGATGCAACACCCGGAACGACCCCGCAGCAGAGGCCGCAGAGGATACGGGGGCAGGCCAAAAGCATTCCGGCGAAATTGAGTCGGGGCGTTTGGTGATCCAGATAAGGAGAGGCAGGAGGAAAAGCGAGGCTTGAGGGGAGAGGGAGGGCTCATCGGGGAGAGTCTTGGGAGGGGTGTTGGGGGAGGAGAGGAGGATGCGGAGGATCTCGGGTGGTGGTATACCCTCGGTGCCCAGTAGTCTCAGTCGTCTCGGACCCGCGCATGCATACCAGTCAGCTGGCCGGGCGACACCTCGTCACCTGCCTCACGGCGATGACGCGAGGGTCACGACGGAGGTGGTCGTTGCCGCCGCGGCCCGAGCGATACTATATTGTCCGACTACACAGAGAGCGCGGGACGAAAGCCGCCATAAAACCGGGACACGCGCCCGCCCCATAAAGACGAGCCCACCACCCTCATCGCCTGCCTCGCCGGGCAGCTCACCCTCACCGTCCCGCTGTGCCGCCCCGGGACCGTCCCGTCCCCGCCCGGGGCGCTTCCCCAACTTGCGGCCCTTCCTCACCCCCCCCCCTCTGCCCACACCGCCCCGCTGCTGCCCCTCTCCTGACGGGCGCCGTGTGGCCGCGCCGACAGACCTGTTGAGGGACATGAATATTCACGCCGAGATCTTCTTGATCGGTCTCTCTATAGCGACGACGGGACGGGCACGGCACGGCGCCACCCTTGCAACAACGCCACAAGCTGCGTAGAAAGATATTAAAGGGCTTGTCGCGTCTAACATTCATTTTTCTGTTGATGTTGTTTTGTGTTTTTCCTCGACTGTTCGACCTAAACTTAGTCAGCGCGAAAACAAAACGGCACCTCTCTACCTGTGTGGGTTACGGTCGTGAGGACCTCCCCCCCTCCCCCTCCAATAACCCTCGGTCCTGACCGCCCTTCTTACCGCCCTCGCCCTCCCTATTCCCCTCACGTGCTGGTTTGAGCGGCCCATCAGCTGCCTGCCTATTAGAAGCTAACCAGCCTATTCCCGCCCTGCTTGCGGCCGGAGGCTGGGCTTTCCTCTTTGGTCCACCTCCCCCCCCATGATCCTCTCACCACCCCCTTGAAATTGTTGCGTGGTGAGCGTCACCCACCATAGATCCAAGACACACTAAAACAAATTTACGTCACATCACTTTTTAAACAAAATTAAAAGATAAATCAGATGACAACGACAGGCAAGATTACCGGCCGCTCATACCAAATATGGTTTCTAATTTTCTCTGCGGTTTCCGTTTCATCGACTCACACACCACACCTCGCCGCTGTGCTGCTCCTACTCCCCCCCCCCACCCACCCCCATGTCATTGAACACACTGGGGGTGTGCGTGAGCGACCGCACCGTGGTGGGCGCTCCGCCCGCTCCGCCAGCTAATCCCCCCTCCCCGGCGCGACGGGATCAGGCTCCGTGTAGCGATCCCGGGCCGTGCGCCGTGCGTGTGGCTTTAATGAGGAGGACGCACGACGCACGCATGGCTTTGCAGCTTCGAGCCTCCGCAGGGGGGGACCGGGGTGATCCCCCCGTGTTCCCGAGTTGTTGGCAAAACGGATCACTAATTATTATCGTCTACCACTAGTGTCAACCTCTATCACCGCCGCGGTTTGGGGCTTAAGTGAAGTGCGGCACATGCGACACGCGACTCATTTGTTTGCCGCCGACACGCTAAGACGTCCTTGCCGTCGAGACGAGGGGCAATCGCTGTGGCGGCGAAACTCACCGTTCAAGGATCATGGCGGTCGTTGAGGCGGGCGGCACCTGGGGCGACCTCCGGCAGAGTCCTCCGGCAGCTCGGGGTGCACGGCGTGGATCCGGAGCGTCGCGCCTCTCCGGGACTTGTTGCTCTGCGCCTCGGACACGTCTGGCCTGCAGCGCGAGCGCCACGCCAGGCCACGCCTCGCCGCACCCGCCCCC